GTAGTGTAATTTAGTGTAGTGGAGTGTAGTTGTGTAGTTGTAGTTGTAGTTGTGTAGTTGTAGTTGTAGTTGTAGTTGTAGTGGAGTGTAGTTGAGTAGTTGTGTAGTTGTAGTTGTAGTGTTGTGGAGTGTAGTGTAGTGTAGTGTAATGTAGTGTAGTGTAGTGTAATGTAGTGTAGTGGAGTGTAGTGTAGCGTAATGTAGTGTAGTGTAGTGTAGTGTAATTTAGTGTAGTGGAGTGGAGTGTAGTGGAGTGTAGTTGAGTGTAGTTGTGTAGTTGTAGTTGTAGTTGTAGTTGTAGTGTAGTGGAGTGTGGTTGAGTAGTTGTGTAGTTGTAGTTGTAGTGTTGTGGAGTGTAGTGTAGTGTAGTGTAATGTACTGTAGTGTAGTGTAGTGTAATGTAGTGTAGTGTAACATTTTGACTTCCAAATGTGCTTCGCGCCACAACGGCATGCACTTTTTCGACATCGCAACTTCCAAAAGTCGTCCGACACGGAGGTGTTTTGTACATTTTGACTTGGAAATGTGCTTCGCGCCACAACGGCGTGCACTGTTTCAACATCTCAACTTCCAAAAGTGGTCCGAGAATAGTGTGTTTTGTACATTTTAACTTCGAAATGTGCTTCGCGCCACAACGGCGTGCACTTTTTCAACATCTCAACTTCCAAAAGTGGTCCGACGCTGAGGTGTTTTGTACCTTTTCACTTCGAAATCGGCTTCGCGCCACAACGGCGTGCAACTTTTCAACATCTCAACTTCCAAAACTGCTCGGAACCCCTCAGTTTTTAATACATTTTACTTCCAAATGTGCTTCGCACCACAACGCCGTGCACTTTTTCAACATCTCAACTTCCAAAAGCGGTCCGACGCTGAGGTGTTTTGTACCTTTTCACTTCGAAATCGGCTTCGCGCTACAACGGCGTGCAACTTTTCATCTCTCATCTCCCCACATGTCTCCGCACCCGCCGCTTCAGCGAGCCTACTTTTCAACTCTCCGGAGCCACAAAACCACGAAAAAAACACAGTGTTTCGCGACTTTCCTACCTTTTCGCGCACCTGCATCTTCTTTCTTCTGATCTTTTCTCTTCCGACTCGTCTCCCTGCTGACTGCTTTTTCATCTCTCCATATTGTCGGAAGTTTGACGTCTAAACTTCCTTCGATGAAAAGCATAACAAAAGCGGATGCTTGCAAGAACCCATTCGCTGTCCGGTCGACACGGCGGCGAAGATTTCGCAGCAAGTCTGCCTGGGTAGCAGGTAGCAGCAAACCAATCGCAATGGACGTAAGAGGTATACCGCATGGCAAGTCACCATGTCAGTTTCATGAGTCCGAATAGAGTGTGGAAAAGTGGTCGCATTGTCCTTAATGCACAATCTCCGTAATTAGTGTGATCTTTTATCTATGTAGTGCGCAACACCCTCAGAGAGGCGCCTGGGTCAAAAATTTGTTGTGGCACTTCTCGTGCTGCTGGAGCTGCTTGCGTGTTGCACAGCTGAAGCGCCAAGCAGGATCGCGGCCAAAGCATTCCCGCACAGGAAGTTCGTGGCATTGCAGCCCCCCATCGACAGCACAAGTGAACATGGTTGATGCAGATGATTGTGGAAAGACAAAAACTCTTAAGACACTATTGTCCTGGTATATCATACAATGTCTTGCATATAGGTATGTGGAGGCCGTTATCTTCGAACTGCCCCTGCTTGACGGGGCATTGAGTTCATGTTCGGAAGCCGCTTGTCAGGTTGGCTAGCAGTTCTGCAGCCGTCTTTGGCCGAAGCATCAAAACATCACAGAATCAACGCATGAACTTATGGCGAAATTTCATGGTTCCAGTTTCCTAGCTAATAGCTAACGAAAATGCAGGTCTGGACATGCTTCTGGCATCGAAAATACACTGAAAGGAATGCACCACCACCACATGCAAGTGCAAGTAACCACTGAAAGGGAATAATCAAAATATGATCACCAGAGCAACAATCTTAAAGTACTCTGACCGTGAACCGCACAAGCATAAGAATAAAACATAAGCACCCACGAACAATAGGAAATCATTGAAGTAGAATTCAACTTGAGCTTATCCGGCGGTTTGGGTTGGCGGTTTGGAAGTCTGGGAATTCATGATTTTATGAACTTACAAATTTAAACTGTATCAAAACCTTGAAAAATAGATTACTTATGCCAGTCACTCATTCATTCAGTAATTCATGCATTCACTCTTTCATTGATACATTCATTTCATTCCATGACATTCATGTCATTCATGCCATTCATGCCATTCATTCCATTCATGCCATTCATTCATTCATTCATTCATTCATTCATTCATTCGTCCATCCATCCATCCATCCATCCATCCATTCATTCATTCATTCAGTCAGTCAGTCAGTCATTCATTCATTCATTCATGTTCATTCATTCATTCATTTCATTCATTTCATTCATTTCATTCATTCATTCATTCATTCATTCATTCATTCATTTCATTCATTTCATTCATTCATTCATTCATTCATTCATTCATTTCATTCTTTCATTCATTCATTCATTCATTCATGTTCATTCATGTTCATTCATTCATTCATTCATTCATTTATTCATTCATTCATTTCATTCATTCATTCATTCATTCATTCATTCATGTTCATTCAGTCATTCATTCATTCATTCATTCAGTCATTCAGTCATTCATTCATTCATTCATTCATTCAGTCATTCATTCATTCATTCAGTCATTCAGTCATTCAGTCATTCATTCATTCATTCATTCATGTTCATTCATTCATGTTCATTCATTCATGTTCATTCATTCATTCATTCATTCATTCATTCATGTTCATTCATTCATTCATTCATTCATTCATTCATTCATGTTCATTCATTCATTCATTCATTCATTCATTCGTGTTCATTCATTCATTCATTCAAGTCATTCCATTCATTCATTCATTCATTCTTTCTTTCTTTCATTTCATTTCATTTCATTTATTTATTTCATTTCATTCATTCATTCATTCATTCATTCATTTCATTCATTCATTCATTCATTCAAGTCATTCCATTCATTCATTCATTCAGTCAGTCATTCATTCATTCATTCATTCATTAATTCATCCATCCATCCATCCATCCAATCAATCAATCAATCACTCAATCAATCAATCAATCAAATCAATCAACCAAATCAATCAACCAACCAATCAATCAATTCAATTAACCACTCAATCTATCCTATCTATCCTATCCTATCCGATCCTATCTATCTATCTTTCTTTCTTTCTTTCTATCTATATATCTATCTATCTATCTGTCTGTCTGTCTATCTATCAATCATACCCCATCCCATCCCATCCATCTAATAAATCTATCTATCTCATCTATCTCATCCAGAATCTTATATTATTGAAAGACAAATCATAAAATTTAAAAGTAAATGAATTAGTCAGTAAGAAAAAATAGAATTATTTAATAACTTAACTATGAAATAAACTATTGATTAGTTAGTTTATTTTTTTCATTAAAATTATACACTTTTATTTTAAAATAAAATACTTTGAAAACACTGATTTCCCAGACTTCCAAACCACCAACCCAAACCACCACGTAAGTGTAACCTGAAGAATTGTCTTGCCCCTCTGCAGCAAAAGGAAAAAATAAGTGGTAAGGGTGCACAACACAAGGACTACGAAACCAAATTCGTCCTAGATAGGAAATAAAGGAAAGCCAGACGTCCAGATGATTGTTCGAAAGTGCGAAAAAATAAAAAGCGGCCGCGTGCGTAGAAAATGGAAAACTGCTGAAAAACTTGTACATCTGACTTTTTCAAAAAAATGAAAAGCGGCCCTGTGCGCCGCATGCGCGAAAGGTCGAAAAACAGGAAAAACACGAAAAGTAGAAAAGTAGAAAAGCGGAAAACTTCCAAATCTGTTTTTTCTCGAAAAGTCGAAAAATCGAAAAGTGGCTCCGTGCGCGAAAAGTCGAAAAACGCGAAAAACACGAAAAGTAGAAAAGTCGAAAAGGATCGCTTTTCTACTTTTCTACTTTTTGTATTTTTTGCACTTTTCTTGTTTTTCTACTTTTCTATTTTTTTACTTTTCTCACTTTTCTTATTTTTCTATTTTTCTTGCGAAAAACGAAGGCAAAAAATGTGAAGATTGCAAAAACCATTGTTTTTCTACTTTTTGACTTTTTGACTTTTCTCGTTTTTCTCGTTTTTCTTTTTTTCTTACTTTTCTCAACCAAAAACGTGCACGGACAAGAAGATACCAAACGTCACGTCTAACTGACTTAGCCAATTTTCAGACACACCTATTTCATGAATAGTGCTCAGGTAACCTGCAAAACCTCCGGTGTTTTTCCCAGTTTTCTGTATACCACAAACAATGGGAAAACGACCTGGCAAACGAATTGCCTCACAGATCCACTGGTTGCGGTTGCACAATCAGGAAATCTTCAGGGAATTGTATGGAAATATATTATGGAAATCAAACGATTTTTAAGCAATGTCCATGATATTGTCGATCTTGGCAAATTGTCTCAAGAAACTGTCTTAAAGTTAATTTCCGTGAGGTCGATATGCCAAAAATCAATGGCGCCTCGTTGGTTGAAGCCTTGTTTTTTTCATCTTTCAACAGTTGAAAACTAACAGAAACCTGGGGAACAATCTAGTCAGAATTTGTCCTTCATCCATCTTCCTCATATGTGAGGTTCATTTTGTTGTTTATCCAACTTCCAATATGCTAAGTCAAACTCTACACCCCGTGGCAATAAAACTCGATGATTTGGGGTTGGTCACGCTTGGTCCAACAAAAAGTGAAAGTCTTTGCTTCTTGGCTGTTTTTTCTCAATGGATTAGTTTAGCTTCACGGAAAGGAGAGAAAAAAAAAGATACCCGTGTTTTCACAGCTACATGTGATGTGGTGGTTTCCTTGGTTTCCTTTAGAGTTCCCCTTCAAGCAATTCCCTTGTTGAATCAAACTGGCAAGGGATATCCCGAGGACCGCACCACAGTGACCACAAAGACTTCCATGTCTTTCATCCGTCGAATCTCATTGCTAGGGATCACCACAATGCACAACCTCAGTGGAAGAGCCTAATGCGGGGCGGGGAGACCTCCGAAATGCTCCCATCTATGGTCAGTGCTATAAGTTGGCTATAAGGTAGAGAAACACATGTCAAATCTTGGTTTTAGCCCTGGAGAAACGTGTTTTGCAGTTGGCTGTCCTAAAATTCTGTGATAGTTCATGGCTGAAAACATGAATCTTCTATGATCTTCTATGATCTTCACTATAGGTCCCAAGGATTTTCCTGAAATTTGCCAGACCAAAGCAGCATATGATCACCGATGATCCCCTGCATTGATGTCCTTTGGGGAAATTTATGGTGAGGAAAAATGGAAGGTCACTTCGGCCACTTCGCATCAGTGATTGTGAAAAAGATGGGATCCCTATACCGCTATACTTCGTGGGCTAAAACTCTACTTTTGCTAGCACGCCACCCCTTGACCCTCTCGCCAACTGAGCCAATCAATGCTTCTTAACCATTATTAACCATTATTAAGCATTATTAACCCCTATTATCAACTATTAGCCAATAACAGGACACTTTGGGTTTTCATGTTTTCACCATCAAAATCACAAGGTAGACTCTGCAAAGTTGTCCTGTTCCCCATTCAGTCAATGGATTGGTTCAAAATCAACACCAGAAACGATGGATTTTCCGATGAAATAATGATGTCGAACATTTCCTGTACATGTTAACCTCAAAATTTGAAAAAAAACATTTCCGCTTGATAGCCTAAGGATCAAAGCCCATCATATCCCATAAACCAATCCTTTGATTTTTTGGAACCGAGATCCCCGACCCGACGATCACCAAGAGATTGAAGGACGCGGAGCCTGTGATCGTTGCCTCAGGAGGCGCATCTCACAGAATCTCACATGGCCCGAGTGTCTACCAGTTGTCAGTACAAACAAAACCCCAATTACCATATGGTACAAATACAAACAGCTATTGAAAATAGTCCCATTAAAAATGGTGATTTTCCATAGCTATGTTAAATAACCAGAGGGTATAGAATGCATCATCCCATAGAAATAACCAGTTATAACTAATAGCCATGGCCATTTTTCTGCAGTGACACTTGAGAAAAAAAAGGATGTACATCACACCTTGTGGAAAGGTGATGCCTCCAATCCTTGGCAAAATGGCAGTGTATTACCAGGCAAAATGGTTGGGTCACCAACTGGAATTGTGATTTAACCGAGGTGCTGAGCAAAGCAATTCAAAGTAGCAAAACAGGTGGATATAAACCAAGATTAACGAACAATACAGGATTTCAGGATTTTCCTTACCTTCAATTTTGAGCACAGCAATGTTCAGTCATTTTCCTAAATTGACTTTGCCTGTCATTTTTGGGTATTGTACCTATGTGGACCCTTGACCGCGGGATGGTACAACATGACACATGTCCACCCGGGAACCAGTTCGATAGAATCACCGCATCATGCTAAAGATATTAGTTTAATAAACCAACTTACTCAATTCTGGGGCACCACCTCCGAAGGGATGATCATGGGCTCTTCCGTGGCTTACCCCGCCATGGATGCGAAATGATGCCAAGATCATGGCTTACCCTCTGGTAAACAGCCACATAAGTATGGAAAATCAACATGGCTATTATATAATGGGAAAATCAACTATTTCTATGGGAATTTTCCATAGTTAATTATATTAGTTATGTTAGTTTACCAGAGGGTATCATATATGATGGTCGTCACCTAGTTAATCCCCCCAAAAAATCATGCTAATCATCTGGATCCGCCTGGCCCCCCATCCCCCAACTGGTCCAACTGATTTCCCCCGGTTTCCCGCCCCGGATATCCCCCATGAAAATTGATCATGTTCTTGCTTAAATTCCTATCCTAGGAATTCGCGTTGCGTTAAAAACATCAACATTGTATGACTGGTTGGTGGTGGTTTTAATCATCTTGAAAAATATGAGTTCGTCAATGGGAGGGATTATCCCATATATTATGGAAAAGAAGAAATGTTTGAAGCCACCAACCAGATGATATTCCCACATATTCTCACTACAGACTACCAGAAGTAGCCACGAAAAGTTGACAGGGATAGAGTGATATGATGTGATATGATCACTGTTGACCATCCCTGATTGACGAGAGGTTGACCCAGTGACCCACATATTTCATGTTGTATTCTTGAGTAGCCACAGGAGTATCCATATCCAGAAGATTCTGGAAGTATCCATCAAAGGTTGACCCAAACCCAAATATCCCATAAAAGTTCACAGGTGTTCACAGTAAGTTCCAAAAAAAACATGAATATTCCCATGTTTCCTGCTTAAGTCCCATTAGATCACCAGTAAACCAGCATTAAATACCCTTGGAGAAAAAAAAACATAGAATCTTCATTATAAAGTTCCATAGAATCACCGTTAAGTTCCATAGAATCTCATAAAGAAAATTACGAAACATGATCACCACTCATGTCCATAGAATCCCATAACAAATCCATAGAATCACAAGTACGTTCCATAGAATCGCCTAAAACAAACCCAAAGAATCCCCATTAAAATCTCAAAAAAAAACGATAAAAAATCCAAAATTTCCATAGAATCTCCATTAAGTTCCATAGGATCCATTAAAATCTCCAAAAAATCCATAGAATCTCCATGAAATGACCGCTTTTGTTGTCGGACCCCCCGGCCGATCCCAAGCCGCCCAAGAAGAAGTCCTGCGTGGACTTCTAAGGTGCAACGTGGCCACCCTTTGGTGGGGGCAACCCTAGGAAAAACCGTAGAAAACCATGAAAAACCCTAGGAAAACCGTAGGAAACTATGGAAAACCCAAACAAAACCATAGGAAAATGATGATTGAACAAGGGAAAGTGGTGACTTAATGGGATGTATAGCAGATTTATACAGTTATGGCCCGAATACCAGTTATAAGTACAGATTAACCCCATTGATAGAATGCATAATTCCACAGAAAAAACAGTTATATCTAATAAATGGCCATAACAGTAGTAGCTAACTTGGTTGAACAAAGTAGTTAGATGATGTTAGACGGTTTTAGAAACAACCTTAATAACTGGGGGCCGACATTGTAGCTTGATAAAATGGTGGGAAAACTGTTTATGGTTATGAATCTGAACCCAGTCACTGATGGTTAAACAAAAACACAACTTTTGGATGCTTAAATCATGTGAAACGCCCTGAAACACCTCAATGTATCTCAACGTTGGATGTTAAAATCCAATATATCCCATGATTTTGATGGGTGAAATCCCGGTGTACCTCCCACGTGTAAACCATGCGTGGCTAATCACGTCCACAAATTCCATGTAAAGCCCATGGCCAGTCCCAGTAGGTTTCCCAAATGCTGGATTTCGAAAAGAAAATCGACTCGCCAAATCTTGGCAACAAATGATATGCCCATTGATTCCCAATTGATTCCCAATTGATTCCCACCCATGTGATATCTGTGATATCCCATGATCTGTTGGTTTCTAGCAGAAATTCACCAGGGACCTCCGGGACGCCGACCCAACAGGTTTGATCCTTATTCAACGTCTCCACGACCGACAGAAGAATCTCTGGCGCCGAGGACCCAAGAGCCTTGAAATAGATCCGAACAAGGAGCTGCTGAGGAGCTTTTTGTGGGTGGTATTTTACTCAGCAAAGATGCAGTTATGGCCATGGCTATAAACGTTATAACTGGTGATTTCTATGGGATGAGATACATTCTATAAATGGGCTGACTTAGTACGTATAACTGGTATTTTGGGCCATAACTGTGGGTATGGTAATTTAACCGACCAAAATCTAAGGTGTACTACGTTGGTTTACAAGAAACATATAGAAATATCTCATTATGGCTTCAGTTTGATCACAAAACTCCAATGTTGATGCTTTGTGGTGGAGATTGATGTAGAGTTTATTGAATTGGTGAATCTACACAAACTTTTGACTCGGAGACCCTACAATACACGTAAGGATCAAAATTGGGTAGTAGAAACATGGTGTTATTTCATGGGCTTAAACAAATATATAATAGATTCTCCACTTCTAGTGGATTTCCCATTGGAAAAAAAAACAACAATCAGCGACTAAACAAAGCCAGGGAAACGGAATGACAAAGTCCAAGTCTACGGGCCCATGGGCAATTTCTTCGGTCCGACATCATGGCTTGGTCTAAAACTAAGAAGAACCGGAACAGAATCTATCCATCTATCTATCTATCTATCTATGTTGAAATAACTATGTATATATATATATATATATTATAATTATATATATACACATATCTTGCGGTAATCAACCGTGGCATTTTCGGAAATCCAGAATAAATTGTGATTTTTATATAGCAAATGCAAGTATAAATGGGAGTTTTGCCAGTGCCACGTTTGATTGCCGGAGAGTAATCCCAACATAGTCTTCCCACGCTTCTATGATCCCATATCCTTGAGATAGGGCATAACAGCTGACTGGCGCCATAGGGGACAAATGCCACTTACCATCAGTTGCTATATGTTGCCATCATCTCAGAATCTCCGTTGGTATTTGGAAAATCAAGGGGAAAATCCAGGGTGTGCAAAGAAGACTGATTGGTGGTCCCCTCTGAAAAATATGAAAGCCGGTTGGGATGATGAAATTCCCAACTGAATGGAAAAACACAATTTATGTTCCAAACCACCAATCAGAACATCTCAAATGAAAATGAACTTTCCAACTTGTTTTTGTACTGGTCTGACTTTCTGTTTCTTCAGAAACCTCGATATCTGATCGATTATGGTATCATGGTTGCTCCTACATGATTAGGTCCATGTTGCACTTTCACTTCATTGCCCACCACTGTCAGTCCATTGTTCGGAATCAAGAACGTTTGAAACATCCTGTTCAGCTAAAAAAAGACGGAGAAAGAAGCTTAGAAAATCATTCGTCTTAAGATCGTGGGATATAGACGATGATCATCTCGACCAATGTCTATCTATATGATCCCATTTATAGATGATACTTGATGATACGGATGAGTATATACTATAGATATGGAATAACTAGTATAATCATGGCATTTAAAGAATTTTATAGATGATCCCAGTGTGAATACATTTGTATTCACCAATGACCATCATTGCTTTTCACCGGCTGAGTCGGGTACCAGCAGTGTGAGGTTGGCCACGGTCGGATTCCACACCTGTGGTTGTCCTATCTTTTTGGGGATGACTTCGGCGAAACATTGGTGAACAATTTTTAGGTGGACATAAAGGGTGGTAAATATGGAACGTACTTGAGAATTATGGACATCTAAAAAAATAAGCTTCAAGTAGAAAGGAAATTAGGCACGTTTATGCAGCTTTAATTGGATTTATGTTCGGAAGTAGTTGTGAAACGTGAGTCAAGCACGATATCTGGAGACTTACTGTACTGACACTGAGACTTTCTGTGTTCATGTGGGAAACATGGATTGATGGCTTCAGGCTCGTGAGCACCAGTGGTTATAAGCCCCAATAGAAACTAGTGCGATATATCTCCCATAAAGCATGGTTTAGCTAGTTCTTTCCACCGATTTAGCCATAATCGATCAACTAATATCAACTATAACTATAACTGCCATTGTTTCTTGGTGAAATCCCCCTCTGTGGGAAAAAACAACCGTGGCTTACACCATTTTACAACTCGCAGAAGCGGTCGCAAAGCTTGCCCCGCGGCGCCTTGTACGTGATCACGCGACCATCCTTCTTTGTCACCTCGACGACTGGGGCTCGGAACAGCTTGGAGGTACCATCCCCCAATTACCATATCTGGTTGGTGGTATACCTACCCCTCTGAAAAATGATGGAGTTCGTCAGTTGGGATGATGACATTCCGAATACATGGAAAAATAAAAGTGATGTTCCAAACCACCAACCAGCTATAGACCCTGCCAGTCAGGCTTGAGTTAGACGACTTTCATCTGCTATTCTCAGGGTCTTTGTTCGGTGCAGGGATGCAACTTGACCTTTTGAACATGTTGTTTGAAAAGGAACAAATGCCCTTTCTTCCTTGTCAGTTCCCATCTGTCAGTTGCAAATTGCTAACAAACTCAACACATTTGCCATGGGGAATCAAACATAGCATTGGAATACCCGCTGTTTAAGGCATGCCCAGTAAAAATGGTGATGTTCCGTTGTCATCTTTGAATTCCAAAGAGTCCTGAATTCAATTAGAATCAAAGGCAACAACAACGTTGAATCATACATTAAGTATCAAAAAAATAGCACAGTTTTTGGATGCTTCTTGCTATCAACCATCATTTTGGGTGATCCCGGCCAGATTGCCATAGTTTATTATGTATCATCAGCTAGTCTTTCCAGTTCGGTACAAAAAAATCTCCCAGCCATGTCATGCCCTGCTATGCCCCATGCCTGCTTGGAGCGACTGGTGATTTCTTCGATGCTGTTCATGAACATATCTGCAACTATCGAAACCTGGGCGTTGTTTCGGCGCCAAAACAACGCGTAGTCGATGTCTACAGAACATATGGGATTCACGGCACATAGAATAGATACAACATAAGGTAGACCCGGTAGATATTAATAGATGCGACTGATGTGTGAACAAAAACAATGCACGCCCTCCAATTACGTTTTGAAAACTAACTGCATCCTTGGTGGGTTCCCAAGCCCACTGAAACACCATATTACCATATTTATTGAAACAAATGTTGGCGTGTCAAGATAGTATTTAGCCACGTTGCTGTTGGAAACTCACCTTTCTAATTTTGACCCAGACAGTGTCATCAAACGTGGCTTGCCGGAAAAATCCACTACAGTAGATTACTTTTCCCAATAAAACATGCATTTCGTTCGGGGATTTCCCAGCCACGTTTGATGACACCGGAGGGTATGCTCATTCTGAGCGCCCAATTCTCCATCAAAACCTAAGACGGAACTCCACACGATCGCTTAAAGTGATTTAAAGTCCCCATCCAAACCAATTTCATAAGTTTTTCCAAGTTCGTTGTCACATGCTTCGCCGAAGATTGCCCTTTCACAAAACTTAGGTTTCAGTAAGAAATCACATGGACAATCTCATGGATACTGTGCACAAAATATGTGTTTTTTCTTCGCATGGTTAGTACGCTATATTACCAACAAAAAAACAAATGCCAATAATCGTAGAACACATATTAATAACAATAGCAGCACCAATCATTAGTGGTAAAACATAGAACCAAAAAACGATCCCCAACTATGCCCATGGTCCATGGTACCATCCGAGCACCCGGACCCCAAGGAACATGTAGATCATCCCGAACTGAGGAATCAGCCATTCAGGACAGAGAAAAATGTGGATGTAGTCGTGCATGTGTGTATGTGTATAAATATAATTTATATATATACACAATAAGATAAGGCGTACATGCTATGTGCATAAATGAATATATATATATATATATACATATAAAAATAAAACACACATATATATATAAATACACACATATATACATACACACAATATATATATATAATACATGTATGAATATGTATATATGTAAACAAATACAAATATATGTACTGTAAAGAAAAATACATGCATATATATATGTATAATTATATAACTATAAATAGTCGTTGCTGAGGCTTCCCTCCAAGGTGATTCTGCACCTGTTTTGGTGGATCTCAGCCACAAGTCACCAGAACGAGGCTGACCTAATCTGCAACCCAGTTATTGAAAGGCTCCTTGACTAAATTGCAGATAGTTGGTGTTGATTAACTTTGATACCCTCTGGTAATTTAACACAGCTATTGAAAATGGCCATTTATAGTGAGTTTTCCCATAGAAATGGTGATTTCCATAGTTACGTTAGTTTACCAGAGGGTAGTTGAGGTTTATTGCATACCAAATCCCTTTGTGCAAATAAACATCAACTATCTGCATCTGGTGCTTAGGAGGATTTTCCCTCATCAAAAGAGCTAGTTGGAGCTACGAATTGGGTTTCCCAACCACAGGATAGATAGTAACATTAGATTGTTGGTACCATCTGGTTATTTAACATAGCCATGGAAGATCCCCATTTTTAAGAACGGTAAACCATCTATAAATGGGCCATCTATACCATGGCTATGTTAAACAATTAACCAGATGGTATCCCAACTATCGTCATACCTACAAAGTGGGGCCCCCAAGATAGCTAAGTTGGTTTATGGCTACAATAACTATGGAACTATGGTTTATGGTATTTAGAACTATAGATACTGGGGCTTATAAACCAACTTATATCTTGGGGGCCTCGCAGTGTACCATTATCATCCATTATCACCATTCCAACGAACATCAACATCAGCGAACTTTTGCTCCGAGGGACGCCATAAAGAACAGCTCGGACAGCAGGGGACCAAGTATACCTCGGCCGCCGATTGGCGGGTTGGGACCATCTGAAAAAATGGTGATGGATGGTGCTGGTACCCCAAGAATCCATTAGTTGATCACTGGTTGGTGGTGCAATAACCATCTTGAAAAATATGACTTCGTCAATGGGAAGGATGACATCCCATATATGAAATGGAAAATAAAAAATGTTTGAAACCACCAACCAGATCATCATTTTCCAGGTAAAAAAATGCCGTTTGAAGGCATACCCACACCATCCCACACCCATATGGATGGTTTCTGTAATCTATTTTTCCATGCAGCCATCAAAGCAAGGTTCACGTCATTTGGGAACCTGTTTCTGCATCCGCCCCAAGTCTACCCGGGGTAACATTCATGGCGATCAAAATGAAAAACTGACCTTGTCATACCCTGCTCATTTACCTAATTGTGGATTAACATGTCTCACCTGCTTATTCCCTGCTTATAAAAGCTGACCGGTGACTTTACGCTTCCCAAATATGGTTGAAGCCCAAGGGCAATGTGATAATATGAGATAACATGAGATAAATTATTGTAATATAATCTATAACATCTTGGGAACCAATCATTTCTGGGTTCCTACAAGGCATATTGAAATATACCATCTGGTTATTTAACATAACCATGGAAAATCCCAAAAATAAATGGAGGTTTCTAGCTGGGACAATCATCTATAAATGGGCCATCTATACCATGGCTAAGTTAAATAACAAGAGGGCAATATGCAAGGCAACATGTGCTCAACAAAGACCCAGATTCCCAGAATCCGGGCTTCCCGACTCATCCGCA